CCACCTTAGGTGTACGTGGCTGGCGCCTTAGCCGGTTGAGCCATAGGCGCTGAGCCAGATTTTTTTTTTTTTTTTTTTAATCAGACTGAGCTATACATGTTAGCCAAACATATAAGCCAACTTAAGAGGAATTGGAGGTCACACATTATTGTTTTGCTTTTTTTTTTTTTTTGAGACAGAGTCTCACTATTCACTATGTCGCCTTCGGTAGCGTGCTGTAGCATCACAGCTCCCAGCAACCTCAAACTCTTGGGCTTAAGTGATCCTCTTGCCTCAGCCTCCCGAGTAGCTGGGACTACAGGCGCCCGCCACGACGCCCAGCTATTTTTTGGTTGTAGTTGTCATTGTTGTTTGGCGGGCCTGGGCTGGATTCGAACCCACCAGCTCTGGTGTGTGTGGCTGGCGCCTTAGCCGCTTGAGCTACAGGCACCGAGCCTGTCCTGTTTTTAGCAGGCCCCATGAGGTTCGAACCTGACTGCTTTGGTGTATGTGGCCTGTGCCTTAACCACTGAGCAACGGGCTCCAAGCCTGTTTTTGCTGCTATTATTCTCCATTAGTCATCAAGATGGTTTGCAGCGGCCGACATACTTTGGGGCCTAACAGCATGCTGTGGACTCCCAAGGCCACTACTGGGGTCCCTTGGGATCCCCTGACTCCCACTTAGCCCCATTTCTTGAGGTTCACTCTCTGGGTCCCTATTTCTTCCCCATATACCTGTGGATTGGGCTCTAAGGTATGTCAGGATGACAAGACAGAGATAGGAAAAGAGTGTATTTTTAGGCCTAGGCATAAGCGTTGGGTGCTCAGTGAGGACTCCTGAGCTGAGTGTGGCCAACTCACCCACCTCAGCCTCAGTCCCTGAGCCTACTGTCTGTTGGAACCCCGAGAGATGGAAAATGGCCCTTTCCTGAATCGGGTACCACCCTGTTCTCAGTTCTACCCTCTGGCACATAAAGCACAGAGACACAGCTGGAGGCCTACACGCAGGGCCAGATACTTGACAGGGAGCCAGCATATCCTATGGTTGGGCTGTCAGCGCCCTGGGGAAACCCACAACAGACCTCAGAGGAGGCCAGGAATCCAGGGAGGTTTGTGGAGGAAGTGGTGCTTGAGCTGGGCCTCTACAGGAAGGCTGAAATTCACCCTGTGGGGGCAGAAGAGAACAAACAAAGTAGGAACAGGCCAGGCTTGGTGGCTCAGGCCCCTGTAATCTTAGCACTCTGCGAGACCAAGGCTGGAGAATCCCTTGAGGCCAGGAGCTCAAGGTTGGAGTGAACTGTGATGAGACCACTGTGAGACCCTGTCTCAAGAAAATAAAAGTCAAATAAACAAACAAACAAAAAATGAACCCAAACCATAGTAAAAACATTCTAAGGCAAGTAAAAGAGAAAGACTTACTAAGGAAGGATGAGTGGTCCGAGTCCATAGCAATTTGGACTTCATCCTTAAGTGTCAGAGAGCCATGGAGGGGTTCTGAGTACAGGAGAGTCAGGTTTATGCTCCAGAAACATAGGAGCTAAGACTTTGCCTTTCTGAGTTTTCTCTTTCTTTGTCTGTAAGACAGGGTAATAATACTGGCTGCCCTGCAGCAGCACTGTGGGGATTTGGGAGTTAATGAACAAGACGTGCCTGGAGCCATGAGAACGCTCTGCCAGTTAGTCTTGTCACCCTTACGGTCCTCCTGCCCCCTCTGCCTCCAGAGCCTGGCCCTGACTCTGACATTTCCCTTTCTCTTTCCTTCTCCCAGCAGGGACTTTGGCTCTCTTAGGAGAATCCAGATCCCCTGTGAGCTGTGTCACTTGGGTGTGGTCCAGTGGCAGGTGCCTGCCCTCAGCTGAGCTGGGAGCTGCAGGATCTGTGACTTCCTTGCACGTCTCAGAGGAGGAAATTCATCTGTGAGGTGAGGTGGCCAGAGCTGCCCTTTGCTCCCCCAGATGAGCAGGTTGGGAGGGCAGTTAGGACTTGTGGGTTCCATCCTGTGGCCAAGTCCTCTGTGTCCTCTCCTACAGGGCACCACCACCCCTCTTTGGCTGGGCTGGGTGGTAAGCAAGGTGAGGAGTCTCCATGGCCTGGGGGGGCATCTGTGTCCAGGTGGAGTGCATCCCTGTGCCCTGAGCCCTGCTCTGCCCCCAGCCCCAGCAGGAGCCGAAGCGATGGCCGCAAAGCCTGAGAAGAGGGTGGCCTCATCTGTCTTTATCACCCTGGCACTGCCCCGCCGTGATGTGGCTGTGGTGGAGGAAGTGAGGCGAGCAGCTTGTGAGGCCCGGCGTGGAGGCCCAGCCCGGGAGGCTCCTGTCCCCATGAAGGCTCCTGGGACTGGCTTGGCAGGCAGGCCTAGCCCTTGGACACCCCCTGGCAGGGCTGCAGCTGCAGTGCCAGTCGTATCATCCCAGCTCTCCAATGGAGGTAAGAGGGGGAGGGGACTTCGAGGGAGACCAGGTCTGAGGTAGCACCGAGGTAGGCAGGAAAGGGCAAGCTTCAGAGCCATTCGTTCATTCATTCATTCATTCATCGAGCCCCTACTAAGTACCAGAAAGACGCTGGAACCCACCTTCCTGGGTGTGAATCCCGGCTCCTTCCTTTCTTGGCTAAATAATGTTGGCAGGCCACTTAACCTCTCTGTGCCTAAGTTTCCTAATCTGTAAAATAGGGATAAAGATAGTATCTTCCCCAAAGGTTGGTTATGAGGACTAAACGAATTTGTACATACACAGTGCTTAGCCCTGGATCTGTCACGCAGGAAGTGCTGAGAGACAGGGCTACATCCTAGTGGGGGAAACAGAAATAATAAAAATATAATGTACAGGCAGCACCTGTGGCTCAGCGGTTGGGGCACTGGCCCCATATACCGAGGGTAGTGGGTTCAAACCTGGCTCTGGCCTAACTGCAACACCAACAACAAAAAATAGCCAGGCGTTGTGGCGGGTACCTGTAGTCCCAGCTACTTGGGAGGCTGAGGCAAGAGAATCGCCTAAGCCCAGGAGTTGGAGGTTGCTGTGAGCAGTGTGACGCCTTGGCACTCTACTAAGGGCAATAAAGTGAGACTCTGTCTCTACAAAAAAAAAAATATCATATATAATGTAAAATATTGGATAGACATCAATGCTATAATGCAAGTGAAGAGGTAAAGACATGCAACTTTTTAAGGAGTGGTCAGGATCGCATCCCTGGGGAGATGACATTTCAGTGGACACCTAAATGACAGGATGGAGTTGGCCAGGGGGAGGTGAAGCTTGAAGAGCAATGGAAACAGCATGTGCAAAGGCCCTGAGGCAGGAATGAATTTGGATGTTGAAGGATCTGAAGGGTGGTTTTCTTCTCTCTTGGGCTCTGCCGTTCATTCACTTGCTATGTGATCGTTTACGCAGAGTTTCCGTGCCATGGGCCTTGGTCTCTTCTGGAAAATGGAAATTTGTATGTGTATATGACTTATCAGTCACAAAACTAATACATAAAAGACTCCTTTACCTTGTACTTGGTCTGAGCTGACCCTGATGCTATGGTGACAAGGCCACTTCCAAGTGTCTTTCCCTGCCTCTTCCACGGAAGGATTCGGTTGGGTGGGGTAGGAGTGAGGAAGGGGACAGCCCAGGACCCTGGGGCAAGGGGGGGCCCATCATCTGACAGGGCCCCAGCTAGAGAGACAAGGTGCTGAGACACTAAGCGTAAGAAGACAGCCCAGGATCGCAGCTGAACCCTGGAGTCCCATGGGTGCCTTAGTCAGGTACTCTGCTGTCCCTGAGCAAGCCTAGGGCACCCCTGCCCTTCATCACCATGGAAACTACCTAGTGACCAATGGGAAGGGCAATCACAAGACTCCAGGAAGTAGTCAAGATAGGGCCCATGTGCACATACATGTGAGAGTGTGTGCGTGTATTCGTGTGACAGGCTTCTTGATGATGGCACCTCCTAAATCTATCTTTCCTTCCTAATCACACATCCCAAGAACACCGGCTCTTTCCAGCCACCTCTCCGTGTAAGGGAACCAGGACCATGTTGACACAATTCACACATTAGGACATGTGATCTGATAGGGAGGAAAAAAATATGTCCCTTGTGGGTGGAAATATAGTTTGGATGTCAGAATTTCTGGGCCGTTTTCATGGCTTACTGGAATTATGGACAGAAGATCCTAGGAGAGTAAGGAATAAAAATCAAACTTTCCTTGGGAAAGTCTAACTGCTGGTCTTTTACCTTCAAGCAGAACACAGGGAGCCCTGGGATTGGGTCTTGCTAGAGTGAGATAAATTTTAGGTGAGTAGTTTGATCAAGAATCTAGTCTGGCTCGGTGTCTGTGGCTCAAGTGGCTAAGGTGCCAGCCACATAACACCTAAGGTGACGGGTTCAAATCCAGCCCAGGCCCGCCAAACAACAATGACGGCTGCAACCAAAAAATAGCCGGGCGTTGTGGCAGGCGCCTGTGGTCCCAGCTACTTGGGAGGCTGAGGCAGTAGACTCGCTTGAGCCCAGGAGTTGGAGGTTGCTGTGAGCTGTGATGACACAGCACTCTATCCAGAGGGAAAACTTGAGGCTCTGTCTTTAAAAAAAAAAAAAAAAGAATCTGGTCTGACTATAGCACACAGAGGGTGGCCCTGGCAGCACCTTGGGGCCCTCAGGCCTTGCCAGCTGCTTAAAGCTGACTATCTCTGCAGCAGGCTGCCCCTCTGATTGCCCATCTGGTGCTTGTCCTCTCAATAACCCTCATGCAGCTTGGAGACCCCTTTCTGCCCACCTGCCCCAGGCCTCAGTTCCCCCTCCCTAGCTTCCCTCTTTTGAATTCCTGCCCACCCTTCACAGGACAGGGTCCCTATACCACGAGAGGACAGTCCTCAGCATTCCTGCTGCTTCTCTGAGATCAGCCCGTGACTCATTGGCCCCTGTAGAGCCCGATTCTCACGCTCCAGCCGCATCAGCTTCCTCCAGGGGCTTGTTTCAACACAACTGTCTGGGCCCCACCCCGGATATTTCTGATTCAGCAGGTGTCTGCAGTGGGGCCTGAGAATTTGCATTTCTTATTCTTCCCCAGGCAATACTGATGCTCTGGTCTGGGGCCTACACTTGTAGAGCTGTTGTTCTAGTCCAAAGGTGTCAAGCAGATGAGATTTGGGAGCTAGAAGAGTACAGTAGAATCTCCTTAGTTGACTTCCTCCCTACAGTGACCACCTCCTTAACTTGACCTAATTGTCACAGACTAGGCATGCACCACAACATGTGTCAGTCCAGTGGGCCTAGTTCTGTACGTTGACCAGCTTGTTACAGTCCTTTGGGTGGTCCACTCACAGAGGGTCTACTATAGTTCTCAATGTTTGCCCCTTGGACCAGCCACAGCAACCTTGCCTGGGGACTTAGCAGACACGTAAATTCTTGGAGCCTGGCCAGACCTACTGGATCACTCTGGGATGGGGCCCACCTATCTGTGTTGAACAGACCCCCAGGGTGGTCCTATCCCATGCCCAAGTGTGAGGACCACAGGTCTAGAGAAACTTCTCATCTGCACAGTCCCTTCAGCCCTCGGTAGAAGGGGAATATGGGGTTGTCTCTGGAGACTGGAGGAGAACCTGAGAGGTGCCCTAGTGAATTAGCTAGAAATGGGGCTAGCACCCAGGTCTTTGGGCTCAGGGGGCTTTTGGCACTGTCCATCTGCTTTCCACGGCGTCTCTGGCAGTCTGAGCCCCTGGAGCCTGGCCTAACTTGTGCTCCAATGACAGGAAGTGGGTAGAGTTCCTTCATGGCTCTTTTCCCAGGGGCACTATTCACAGTGTTCACCTGGGCTGGCAGTGGACAGAGGATTGTCACAGATACGGTCCTAGCCCCTCTCTAAGACTTCCCTCCTGATCTTCCCCAGAGCCACCTGGGGGACAGTTATAGTAGTGATGGTTCTTGCACAGAGGAAGGAGCCTGGGGCTGAGGCTGTACCCCCTGACTGGTCCTTGGGATCAAGAGCCGCTGCTCCTGTCCCCACCCTGTCTGCCTGCACCGCAGGCAGCTCCTGGGAGCAGGAGAGAAGCTGTGGTAATAATAGAAATGACATCATACCAGTGTCCTGGGTGTGGGTGTGTGGTTTTTTTTTTTTTTTTTTT